CTGTATTTCGTGCAGAATGGAATGATCAGGGAGCTACTACAATTGTTGCGCTTAAATTACTACATGGTTCAAAGATGAATGATGGATAACTATAGTCTGTATAATATTTATTATTAATCTTCATTGTGTCGAACTTGATGTATAATTGGTGATCTGAGATACCAATTTTTGAAAAATTTACAAATGATGGATCGTATTTGGGTGATGGACCAAGTTCTGATATGAAAGGCAGATGTGGGAACAAGTACTCAGATAGATTAAATGAAGCATTAGATGTGGATAACGTAGGTGCTAAAGTAATATTAAAACTCATTAAAACTATGTCAAAATTAGTTTTAAACGATGAATTGAACCAAAATTTTATGCAGCTTGAGTTGTTCGATTCTTCACATGGGAAGGGTGGAAAGTCATAAATAGTACCATAACTGGTAGGAATAAAACTCATAAAGTTATAGTTGCACGTATAAGTAGCGAATGGCAAATTAGAAGCACATAGAAATACCCCTATCGATTTATAATAGAATACTATACATATAGTTATTATTAGGTTAGATTCCAATTTTTAACCCACACCATTAAATTAGGCCTTGTCCTGCATTCTAATTTATAGACATATTTTTAAACCAATTCCAACTTAACTTTGAGTGGATCATGAAGTAGTTCCTGAATATGCTACGCTATTAACAACCCTAATTACATGCAAGGAGTCAGCACCACATACCTGGCATTGCTGGAGGAATGATAGCTTCTTCCGTTATTACTACAAGAAAATTTTTGTCTAGCAGACTGACTAATTGAGTGGAAGCATAAAGTAAAATTGCAATTGACAATCCAAATGCAACAACAATGCGGACTATTTTAAACCAATATGGCTCAGTGGTTTTTTCCATTAAAAAGTGCGTCAGTTAGAAACATTTTTGATAAACTACGCGGTAAAAGTAATTGATAAAAATAATAATTCGTTATTAAAATTTGCTTTATTACCATATTAGTGATCAGAATGAGACTGGTAAAATCCTGATACGTATTAGTAATAAAAATACTATGGGCTAGTAGAAACGTGTGCTGCCAAGAAAAAACTTGTAAGTAAATATTTATCACTATAGCGATAGTAATTAGGTCCTGAGAAGACCGGACCGATAGGACCGATAGATACTATTATAGCCAGTCTAATTAGAGACCCAATCCAATCCTAATTGTGATATTGCATCTTAAATCATATATATCGATATCGATATACAGTCAGTTCTTTAGTATTTTCTATATCACGTGTCACTTATAATGTTCTTTACTTAAATGACGTAACTGATTGTATATGTGATCACAACTAGAGGTGCAGGCGGAACTGTCCCAATGAACCGTACGACACACAGCAAGTTACGGTTACGGTTGCGGCAAAAACCGCATGAATCCCAATTGCCGAATACAAGTGCCGTATGAACCCAAGTCCATATGAATTCAAAATACTGTATCGATAAATTAAAATTTTGATATCTGTCGATATGGCAGTAATTAATCAATACTACAATCAATATATGTGTAGCTAATTAGATACGTATGAAATATAGTAATATATCAATCAATGATGTAATAAAAATAGTTTATATGTTTATACGCAGATTATATATTTTCATGAAATTATCGTCTATTAACGAAAGTGTTTTCTACAATGAATACGAACAAAGGCAATTCGACTCTAAATAATGATAGTTCCCCACTATCTGAATTAAATTATAATAT